CCTTGAGCAAGCTCTGGCACTGTAGTGTGGAATCAGGCATCATCAGGGTCAGAGTGTGCTGACCTGTGGATAGGGTCACTCAAGAGGCCCTGCTGCCCCACCCCAGTGTCCTTGGCCTGACATTGATTTTTACCCTCTGACCTGATGTGTCTATGGAATCTAGCCCGGACTGTCCTCCAAGCTCAGGTGTTGATCTGAAGGGACCCAGTATAGAAGCCACAATGATCCAAGACCCGTCTGTCTCCTAGAATTTAGTGGTATGTGAGCTTGTGGGTGAAGAGTCAGGGCAGTGTGCCCTGATGAAGGCATGCACAAACCATTGACCCCTAGTCATCTCCATCTTCCCTTTTGCCAGTGTGCTGGATGGAGGTCTCTCTGCTTGAGCTCAGAAGTCAGGTTGGGCCCCAGTGTAGGGTTGCAACTCTCCCAAGGAAGGGCTAAGAGAATCTTCTTTTAAGACCTCAGCTGGGCGTGGTATCGGCTAAGCCAAGCATGTGCAAGGCTGGAAGCAATTTCTACGCCCAGCTTCTCACCCATGGCAGCTCTTTTCAATCATCCATTTGAACTGTTCCCCAAATATGGTTTTCACTGTGGAAGGTGGACATTCATCCCATCTCCCTCTAAGCTTCAAGACCTCTCCTGAATCTACCAATCTGGGCCTTATTCTGACCTTTCTGAAGGTACTTCTGTGTTTTATTTTTTCTCTCTAGATTTAATCTATTTTTAAAAATTTAATAAAAATACTCTGGTTTCTCTTCAGATCGTATAAATCTTTCGCCTATTACCATTATATTTATATATAATTTTCCATTATATGTTATTACAAGATATTGATTATAGTTCCCTATGCTATATGGTAGGTCCTAAAAACCAGATACTTCTTGGGACTTCCCTGGTGGTCCAGTGGCTAACATTCGGTGGTCCCAATGAAGGGGGCCTGGTTTCAATCCCTGCTCAAGGCATTAGATTCCACATGCCACAAGTAAGACCCAGTACAGCCAAACAAATAAAAAATAATTTTTAAAAAAAATGACCCCCCCGCCCCCAGATACTTATGGTTTTTAGCCCACACTGTCCTTAAATGATGCGGTGTTTTGGATTTTATACCTTTGTCTAAATTGTCCACTGGCCAAATCCACTGTATAGTATACATATGTTGCTCCTGTTAGGAAGGCAGATCCCTGGGGACAAACCTGGGCCGGTCTCCAGACAGGTTATGAACCAGAAAAGCCAACTAAAGATGGAGGGCACAGCTACTCACGGCCTCAGCAGTAAGTAAGCAAACAAAACACCCTCCAAAACAATATCACTTGCTTATTTGGGGCACATTAGGTGCACGTGTAAATAAATAGAAAGAGGCTTGGAGGTGGTCTTAGGAAGCTGAGGGGTGGTTGCCTTTGGGGAGAGGAGAAGGAGGGGCTGGAATGGATGTTGGTCCATGGGGACTTTAGGCTTATTTGTACTATTTTTCCAATTTTTATGAGAATTAGTTGTCTAATTAAAAATTGATATTTAAAGAAGTTTTTCTTTCTGGCGGTTGCCACATACCTGTTTTAAGCTCCCAGCTGTTGTTCTGCATCGTGGGGAGTGGGCCTGTGTGTGCTCCATCCTGGAAACCCAAACACGTGCAGAACACCTTGCATACCAGGCGCTTTACCTGAGTGAGCGCATGTGTCATCAGCCAGCCCTGGGTGCCAGTGGCTGGCCCCTGGAGCCTTTGATCTGATCCTTCTCAGCTCCTGCCCTTCAAGACTCTGGACCTAATTTCTTCAGTGTCTCCGCAGATGGCAGCCCGTCAAGCCAGGCTGTGTATTGTTGTTCTTATCTGGCTGCGCTGACATTCCTTTTCTTTCTCTCTTTCTCTGTCTCTGCTCCTTCTCTCGCTATCGGCACAGGTCATGGCTGCCAACAGGGGAGGACTAGGCAGGGAGGAAGATGTTTTCAGTTTAGTTTCTAATCTGTTTCCTGAAGCTGCCCCTGGGCTGGATGTTACAGGAATTTCTGGGGGCCCTTCTGAACTCATCATGATATCCCAAAGGCCTGATTATTGTACCCCATTTAATCACTTGTCCTTCAGATATTTGTGGGTCATCTACCATATGCTTGGAGTTGTACTAACACAAAGTCTGCTGCTCTGTGGACTTGGAACCCACCCACCTCATCCCATTCCTGTGGTCACTCTTCAGGCCAGGCCACCGTCATCTCTCAGCATCAGCTAGAACAGCATTCAACTTTGTCCTCCACACATTTCTCCTTTCTCTGGTCAGAGCAAGCTTTCTAAATCAAATCTAATCAATCCCTTCTTTTGCTGAAAAATCCCCATGGCTTCTCATTGGTCTAGAGTCAAGTCAAACACCTTGACATAGCCCACAGGACTGATGGATTGACTCCAGCTAGGAGTGAGCATCCATGCTCCAGCCACCCTGAACACTCAGGACCCCACCCCCATGCTCTGGTCTCTGAGTCATTTTGTTGTTCAGTCACTAAGTCATGTCTGACTCTTTGTGACCCCATGTTCTGTATAGCACACTAGGCTTCCCCGTCCTTCACTCTCTCCCGAAGTTTGCTCAAATTCTTGTCCACTGAGTTGGTGATGCCATCCAGCCATGTCATTCTCTGTTGCCTGCTTCTCCTCCTGCCCTCAATCTTTCCCAGCATCAGGGTCTTTTCCAATGAGTCAGCTCTTTGCATCAGGTGGCCAAAGTATTGGAGCTTCAGCTTCAGCATCAGTCCTTCTAATGAACATTCAGGGTTGATTTCCTTTAGGATTGACTGGCTTGATCTGAGCCTTCACACATGCCTTTCTTCTGCCTGCAACACTCCCTGCTTCCTCATTCTCTCTGGCTCATCTCAATGAAGCTTCAGGTCTTAGACAGCACTTCTTTCTGGCAGAAACTTCCCTAACCTTATCCTCCCACCTGAATTCTCTGTGTCTTTCTCTCAATGCATTTCTCACACTCTGTATAATTGCATGTTAAATTTGTCTGTTTCTCCCACCGGACTCTAACACCATGAAGACAGTGTCTTGAATAATCATAATGACAACCCCACAAGGCACCACGCTAACCATTTTCTATGCCTCCCACCATTTTAATTTTCACCTCTCTTTGAGGTGGGAACTTATCATTATTTCCATCTTAGAGGAGGAATTGAGGCTTAGGTCAAAAATGTGCCATAGGCAGGCAGTTAGATGGTGGAGCCAGGATTCAGACCCCAGCAGGGTGACTTCAGAGCTTGCATTAGAGCAGGGGAGTGTCTATCTGATGCATGATTATAACCCTAGCTCCTAACACAGCGCCTGCCATCTAGAAGGAGCTCAATCACTATTTCTTGAATGAATAAATAAATCAAGAGATGTTCGGTGATGGGCAGCAAATGTAATCCCTTCTAGGATTAGTTCTCTTTAAATGCAGCCAGGGTAAGCAGAGCTACATTATTGATCCATACCAGAAAGCGCTAGCATACATAACTAAGACAATCTCAAGATTTTCTAGCCAGGCAGCACCACTGTGTCTGTCTGCTGGGCTTGGCTGGTCTGCCTGGCCAGTGGGATTTGGTAAGATGGGGCTGGACACAGAGAAGGTCTTGGAGTCTGGGAAGGTGTAGAAGACCCTTATGACCAGGTCAGGAAAGAGTCATTTGAGGAGTTTCAGGTTAGCAGAGACTCGATAGGATCAGAAAACAACATTTACTGTGGGGAGATCGATGGGGAGAGAAACAGTCCACAGGACTTGGATTTATTTCATTCTGTCCAAAGTGGAATTTCTGCTGGTGATTTAAATCAGTGGTTCTTGGGCTTCCCTGGTGGCTCAGTGGTAAAGAATCTACCTGCCAGTGCAGGAGACGTGGGTTCAAACCCTGCTCCGGGAAGATCCCACATGCCTCGGAGCAACTAAGCCGGTGCACTGCAAATATTGAACCTGAGCTCTAAAGCCTGTGCTCCGCAACAGAAGAAGCCACTGCAGTGAGAAGCCCTAGCACCACAACCAAGAGTAGCCCCTGCTAACCTCAACCTGAGAAAAGCCAGCACAGCCATGAAGACCCAGTGTAGTCAAAAGTAAATAAGCAAATACAAATTTTTAAAAACTTAAAAAATATCAGTGGTTCACAGCCAGGATAATTTTGATCCTTGGGATATTTGGCAATATCTGGAGACATTTTTAGTTCTCACAACCTGGTGGGTGGGGAGTGCTACTGGCATCTGGGGGGGTAGAGACCAGGGATGCTGCTAAATACCCTACAATGTACCAGACAGCCCCCCAACCCCAACAAAAAATGATCAGGCCCCAAATATTGTTACTGCTGAGGCTGAAAAGCCCAGATTTAAACAGTGGGATGAATGGGTGAACCCGGAGAGTAAGTGACATTTGCTGAAGTGCCTTCTCTTCTGGCCTTGATTCCTAACAGTGCAGGCTGTGGTGGGGAGGGTACAGAGGTGACAGATGCCCTCTTTACTCCCCCACTCTCTCCCCAACCCTGGAAAACATTACCAGGGACCCAGCCCCTCTCTGTGGTTTCCCTCCCCTTCTCCTCATTCCTCACAGTTCTGTTATCACTCCAGGATCAAAAGTTTGGAACATTTGGTACCCATATTTGAGGAAAGTGAAGGGGGTGGGTCTCAGCTGTGAGCACGCTTGGCTCTCTTCCTCCAGGGACTCTGATGTAGGAGCATGCACACTGCTGCTAACTTTGGGAGTCACTCCCTTCTGGGAGTGAGAATGGGATGGGGAGGACATTGGGGGTGGTCCCGGGAATTTACCCAGGTGAGTGTGTGACTGGTTTTGCCATGCCCCAGCACCTGGCAGCCTGACTCCTTCTTTAGGGCCTGTTCATATGCACGCTGTGATGTGTCCTGAGGGCATCCTATGTTCAGAGACATTGTCAGGGACTGTGTGGTTAGGAGGATGTTTCAACCTTCAAGGCACGTATAATCTCTTAGGAGAGAATAGGATTCTACTCTGTTATTTCAGGTCCTAAGAGAAGCAAACCCCAAGACAGAGTTAGAGGTGCAAACGATTTACTGGGGGAAACATCTGGGGAGGATGAGGGATGAGGAGCAGGCAGTGTTCCGACATCTGTGGAAAAGAGAGGGCAGGAGGCATCTTATTTGCGGGTTAGCGCCCGCACCCTGCGTGACTGGTACCACTGCCTGCTGTCCCCAGCCACTGGCTCCTCCCCACCCTTGACCCTTGGCATTGCTTCTGTGGCCATTCTAGGCACCTCTGCAGGAACCCTGGACCACTCCTTTCTCAGAAAGCAAGCAAAGAGCTGAAACCTAAACTCCTGCTTTGGAGCTGGCCAGGCCCCCAAGTTGGGCTTCATGGCCAGCATCCCATCTTAGTCCTCTCCCTGCTACTGGCCTGTCACCCTAACCAGGTGGATGGGATCTGCTGCCCGTTTAACCAGGCTGCCTCCTCAGCCCACTTTTGCAAGTCTGCTGTGACCATCTTCTTGCGCAGGTGCCTTTTCTTTGCCTTTGTTGTCGTTGTTAGTTAGTGAATAAGTCATGTCTGACTCTTTGGTGACCCCGTGAACTGCAGTCTGCCAGATTTCTCTGTTGATGAAATTCTCCAGGCAAGAATATTGGAGTGGGTAGCCATTCCCTTCTCCAGGGGATCTTCCCAACCCAGGGATCAAACCCTCATCTTGTGACTCCTGCATTGGCAGGCAGATTCTTTACCACTGTGCCACCTGGGAAGCCCCTTCTTTTTGTTTAGTCAAAACTAAATCTACCTATTGCCTGGCCTGAGTTGACTCCCACTCCTTCCGGAATTTCTTCAGCCCCCACTGATGTTCCCAGCCCTGGCATTTTTGTTTTATTCAGAAGCACTGCAGAGTTCCCTGGTTAGGGTCCAGTGGTTAGGACTTTGACTGCCATGGTCTGGATTCAATTTTCAGTATGGTTCCTCTGTTACGCAGCCATCTCTCTCACGTGGCTACCAGTGACTATATTGGCAGGCAGGGACACATTTCCATCATCTCAGAAAGTTCTCTTGGACAATACTGAGAAAAAGAAAGGCATATAAAAAAATTAATGTGCTTATTTTTGGCTGCACTGGGTCTTTGTTCCTGTGCGCAGGCTTTCTCTAGTTGCAGAGAGCGGGGGCTACACTCTAGCTGCGGGGCTTGGGCCTCTGGTTACCGTGGTGTGGCTCATGGGTTCTAGAGCTCAGGTCAGTAGTTATGGTACACAGGGTTAGTTGCCCTGTGGCATGAGGGATCTTCCTGGACCAGAGATCAAACCAGTGTCCACTGCATTGCAAGGCAGATTCTTAACCACTGAACCACCAGAGATGCCCCAGAAAAGGCATTTTTTAAAAGCAGGTGTGAGGTGTAGCAGGAACTTTCTTCAGTCCTGAATCACCCCTGTTTAGGGGCTCTGGCCAAGAGAAGCCACATCTTTAAGGCTTCCTTGTTGAGCTGAAAGGAGACCCCTGGGAACCATTCCCAGTCACTAGAGATGCCCCTGCAGTGAGCACAGGCCTTGAGGTCACTGGAGCAGTGGTACTGGGGGGAAATTCATAGGGCCCTGGTCACCTCCCAGGCCTGGGTCCCTGCCCTCTAGCTCTGGAATGCATCTCTAGATGGTCAGATATCTCTGGCCAGTCACAGCTACTCTCCACTTCCTACAGGAAGGGGAGGTCTGTGCTATATCTGCGTCGGCCTGGGTGCAGAATTCCTAATGCACTCAACAATCGACATTCTGCTCAGTTTTATCAATTATTAAGCAGAAAGCCCAAGAAGAGTCTGTGGAGCTGTGGAGTGTGGGTGGGGGAGGGAGTGCTAGGAAGGAGAAGCAGATGGTGAGGGCGTGAGGCGCTGGGCAGAAGGTTTGAGCGCTGACCCTTCCACAGAGAACAGAACTTCAAGATCAGGGAGTGGATGGGCCTGACCCGCTCCTGCCAATGAGTCTTTGGGGTGATGCTTCTCCTTTCAGTGGGCTTCTGACAAGCCTGAGTGTGCTCAGGAGTTACCAGGATGCTGATGGGACTTGGGGCTTGGTTGATGGGAGGGGTGGCGAGGCCTGCAATGAGCTGGGCAGAGGACAGGGCAGAACTCCTCCAGGTTTGCAGGGCAGTCATCCAGAGCAGGGGTACCCAACCTCCAGGCCACATGTTGGCATCTCCTGTCAGATCAGCAGCGGCATTAGATTAGAAATAAAGTGTACAACAAATGTAATGAGCTTGAATCATTCCTGAACCACCCCCCATCCCCCCAACCCCAGTTCATGGAAAAATTGTCTTCCACCAAAATAGTCCCTGAGGCCAAAAAGGTTGGGCATCACTGCTCCTAGCAGGAATGGGCACACTTTTTCTTTAAAGTGTTAACTATTTTAGGGTTTGTGGGCCTTATGGTTTCTGTTGCAACTTCTCAACTGTGCTATAGCACATTAGCAGCTGGAGACAGGTGTAAACAGGTGGGCATGGAAGTACTGCCATCAGGTGCTGTCTACAGAGACAGGTGGAAAGCTGGTGCCCTTCCCCTCATCTAGGACCTCCATCCTCAATGTGGGATCCTGGACTTGCCATCACTTGGGGTCTTGTGAGTCAGGCAGAATCTCAGGCCCCACCCCAGATCTTTAGAAACAGATCTGCTTTTTAATAAGTCCCTTGGGCCTAGAAAAGTCTGAGGATAGAGTTTAGAGTTATTCTGGGGAGATCTGGTTAGAATCATGCACGAAGTGTAGAAATGACAGAAAGCAAAATTTCATCTCAACATCAACTTTCTGTTGGGACTTTCCTGGCAGTCCAGTGGTTGAGACTCCACGCTGTTGATGTAGGGTCTGTGATTTCCACCCCTGGTTGGGAAACTAGGGTCACCCATGCCAAGAGGCATGGCCAAATAAACAAATTGCAAGCTTTGCATGTCTCTGTGTGTGTGTGTTTAAAGATGGACTTTTTGTCAAACAGAGCTGTCCTCAAAGGCAACAAGACCACCCCATCACAGAGGTGTTCAAGCAACAGGTAGATAACCATGTGTTCAGGACGGTAGCAAGGACTTGGGCAGGATAAATAGTATCATGGCTAAGTGTTCTTGCTGGGAGGCAAGCTGCCTGGGTTTGGATATTGGTTATGCAAGAGGATGTCTTTCCCATCCTTATTTCAGATTCCCCGTCCACAAAATGGGATCATCAAAAATCTCACAGAATTGTGCTGAGACTTAACTTCAGGAAACACTGCAATAGCCCTTCCTGTACGCTAAGTGCTAAATATTACTAGAGTTTACTTAAATCTACAACAGAAATCAATGTTTTTGTGTTTCCCTGGTGGCTCAGCAGTAAAGAATCTGCCTGCCAATGCAGGAGTTACAGGTTCCATCCTTGGGTGGAATCCACAGGAGAAGGAAATGGCCACCCACTCCAGTATTTTTGCCTGGAAATTTCCATGGACAGAGGAACCAGGCAGGCCACAGTCCACGAGGTCACAAAGAGTTGGACACAATTCAACAACAGCATTCATATTTTTGGTTGGATTGAGGACCATCCTTTGTATCTAAGGTCTCTTCCTTCCAACTCTGAGATTTGAGGTGAGAAAGAGGGAATATTTGAGGAGTAACAATCCTAGCCAGTGTTTTTTGGATATTTGGTGTGAGCCAGGCACTATGCAGGCATCAGTTAATGTCTCTCAAATTACTTTCAGATACTTGTTGCCATGGAAAAGCAAACAGATTATAATCTGTTGCTGCCCAAACACTCTGCCGGTGTTCCAGCTTTAGAAAGTCAGATTGAGCCCAGAGCTGAAGTGCATTGTTCTGTCATCAATAGATTCACTCTGTGTTGAGGGCCTAGAACTCTCTGGAGCTGGTCAAAGAGCCACCTCTTTTGAGCACATCACCAACTCATGTCTGAAGACGGCAGGGGCCAGAACACTTGACCTCACGCACACACACAAATGAGCCTGCTGACCCCCAATTCTATTTGTGTAGAGGCACCCATAGATGTAATGCCCCCTTTATCCTTGTTTGTATTTTTTGATCCCCAACCATAGGGTTTAACCACAGACATTGATTTGAATTCTCACTCTGCAACTTTATAGCTGTGTGGTCAAGAGCGAGCCTCTTGACCGCTCTGAGCCTTGGTTCTTTCCCTTATTAAAGGGACTGATAATGCTGCATGCTTCATAGGGCTGTGGTGAGACTAAAGTGTGAACATGTGAGACTTCCAGGAGCCGTGCAAATGTTGGCTGTCATTTTGATGAATGGTATAAGCCTCTTGAAGTATCTTTCTCATCCACAGTGCTTGCCACAGAATAAGGGTTTAAAGCAGACTTATCAGGGCTTCCCAGGTGGGGCTATTGTAAAGACCCAGTCTGCCAATGCAAGAGACAAGAGACACGGCTTCAGTCCCTGGGTTGAGAAGATTGCCTGGAGGAGGAAATGTCAACCCACTCCAGTATTCTTGCCTGGGGAATCCCAGGGACAGAGGAACCAGCCAGGTTATACAGTTCATGGGGTTGCAAAGAGTCAGACACAACGGAGCGAGTCAGCAGGCACGCACAGACTTATCAAATAAGAGACGAACAAATGATCTTCTCCTACAATGTGGGAAGGAACTGCTCCTGAGGAGGAGTGAGGTGAGTACCTTCCCCCTGCCCTGACCCGGGTCCACCCCTACAGCTCTCACCATCATTTCAGATCCAGGGTTCCTTGTGTGTTGCTCAAGTTTCCGTGAGCCAGTGGCAGGCCTACCTACCTTTCTTCCCCGTAACAGCTTTGCCTTGATTTTGTGGATGCCAGCACAGAGTTCTTATCTCCCCAAAGAAATCTTTCAAAAAACAGCATACTGAATTTTTTATGGTATATGTGTGTGCTTTAGTTTCAAAAAGTGGGTGGGAAGGAAAGGGAAGACTGGCCTTGTACCCAAGGGCAGTAAGCCATCAGGCTGGGGACTCCTTTCTCACTGCTTTAAACTCTCCTCCATCTCCTTCCTCGCCTCCTCCCCCCATCATATGATTTTTGGTGCTTTTTGGTTAATTAATTTAAAGTGACGATCGTCTCAGATTAAACTGTAAATGAGTTTCAAATGGCGTAGCCGGGCCACCCACTACTGGAAGATCATATTGCAGTGACAACATTA